GCCATATTGCTTTGATAGAATCTTACCATTATAGCAATGTCAAAATAAAGCCTTATGTGTTTTAAGACCACTGTTACTCACAACTTTTGTTATTAACAGATGAAATTGATAAGGGAAAGTTGTCTTTCATTTTCTCTTCATAACTTCATGCTCTACTTAGCCTTTTATATTACCTAATCTTGTCTCATGAGTGTCAATCAATATGGGGATATATAGGCTTCCCACTGGAGAAAGCCAGGTCACAAGTTAAGTGAGGGCTTATCTTTGGTGGTCCAAGCCAAGCCCCCCTTTGGGTTGCTGGGTCATGGCAAGAGCAAGTGAGAGCTCCCCAGATTTGCCGTGTGCTGATTCTCATGACCTGCCACGGGCACCTTGAGTCCTCCTTTATCTTTCTCTTTCTCTCTCTCTCTCTCTCTCTCTCTCTCTCTCTCACACACACACACACACACACACACACACACGGGAACACTCATTTCCATTTCCATTTCCACAGTACTCCAACTGGACCCTCCTAGATTTTATTAACCTTGTTGATAAAATAATTTCTATACAATTAAGGTTTTTGTCTCACTAGGATCATAGTTAAAATAGCAATTTCTATTATCTTCAACATGGTGCCAGCATATTCTTGGGCTATGTGCTTTTTGACATTTTACAAAAATGCCACTGCAATTATTATTGTCAAAGGAATTCTGTATATGATCAATAAGTAAGTCAGGTAATTGTTTTGTTTTGTTTTTGATGAGAAAAGGGAGGAGTTGCTGTTGCTACTGAAACCTTATTTGTAAGACTTGTGTTGTGGGGTGGGTGTGGGGCATGCAGTCAAGTTCATCAGAAGGAAGTTTCCAGTCCACACTGACCACACCTCCGTGAAGGCTGTTTCCTAATTATTCCTAGAAGCAGCCCTATAGGATCTCTCTTAGAAGACACTCACTCTGATTTTTAGCTGTCTCTCCTTTTATCTTCTTTCTTCAGAGCCTACACATGCTAGAAACTCAATAAATGCCAAAGGAACAAATGGAGTGGGTTATACTTTTACCAACCTATATCCTGAAGCCTAGAGAGCAGGGAAAAGCTGCTTAAAAACTCTCTAGAATGAAAATGCCTACTTGGGTAGGAGCAGTCCATTGGCATAATACAGGAGGTTGGAGCTTTGGGGCAATCAATTTTAAGGTCTCTATCCTTCAGGATGCACAGGTGCCACAGTGGTTTGTATTGTTATATACTCTCTCCACTCCACTTTTTTCCTCCTTGAACAAATCGAAACATTTTTTTGTGGGGGGGGGAGGGAAGTCTAAAAAGCATTGTGAGTCCTAGGCACTGAGTCTCCCGTACCTTACTAATAAGAAGTCAGTTCTGCTTAGTGCCTGGGGGAACTGGTTGGTAATGTTTTGATCATCACCCCAGGTGTACATCAGAATTAGAATTACACTGTACATCAGAAGTAGAAAACTGAAATGCCTACAAGCAGGCTAGGTATGGGGAATTTGACCACCATATGTGATGAAGGGGCAGCTAAATTGGTGTGCACAGCCATTTTCCCAATAGGTCGCTGTAGGCCACCTCACCTGGATTGTCACCCAGTGTTGCCAGACTTCCCCATTTTTATTTTATTTTATTTTATGAAGTAGTTTTGCTTTTGTTGCCTAGGCTGGAGTGCAATGGCACAATCTTGGCTCACGGCAATCTCTGCCTCCTGGGTTCAAGCAATTCTTCAGCCTCAGCCTCCCTAGTAGCTGAGATTACAGGCATGTGCCACCATGCCCAGCTAATTTTCTATTCCCCATTTTTTAAGAAAGGCTAGAAACCCTGAGTTTTATGTAAAATCTCTCTGTTTTAAAATGCTAGCTCAAATTTCAAAGAAAAAAATCTCCCTGAATGAACCAAACAAAACATCTCAGTATTGTATATGGCACAATTTTGTAATTTCTCTTGAACATATCTGCTACAGGGAGAAGCCTTAAAAACAAATGGCAGGTGTGGGCACCAGAGAATCAACACATCAGGAAGAGAAAAATGGCATGGTTTTAGTGTAACTGTAAAAAGGTAATACTAGTTGCAGTAAATTGTATGATTCTTGCTATTTATGTGTAGTCCCTTAGCACTTACAATTGTTAATCTAATTATTCAGATTCCATAAAATTCCATTAGGATTATTTTTGTGCTATTTCAACTTCCTGAATTTGTAATTTGAGCAATAGGGCCAGAATTTCATGACTTAATAGGGCCAGGATTTCATGTATCGAGAACTCTTGCTCATAATTGTGATTTTGAATTTTTTTTTCCTGAGATAGGGTCTTACTCTGTTGCCCAGACTGGAGTGCAATGGCAAGATTCCCAGTGCTCAGGTGGTCCTCCCACCTCAGCCTCCTATCTGGGACTACAGATGTGTGCCACCACATTTGGCTGATTTTTAAATATTTTTTTGTAGAGATGAGGTTTTGCCATGTTGCTCAGGCTGGTCTTGAACTCATGGGCTCAAGCCATCTGCCTGCCTTGATCTGCCCACTTTGGCCTAAAGTGCTAGGATTAGAGGCCTGAGCCACCGTGCCCGGCCATGATTTTGAATTTTTAAAAGTGTACTTAACCTTTAATAAAGGCCTATGTATTATTTCTAGTCAGATCACCTTTGTCTGACTTGCTTTGGGGCTAACAGTATAAAAAAAGAAGAGGCTGGGTGTGGTGGCTCACGCCTGTAATCCCAGCACTTTGGGAAGCTGAGATAGGCGGATCACCTGAGGTTGGGAGTTCAAAACCAGCCTGACCAACATGGAGAAATCTCTCTCGACTAAAAATATAAAAATTAGCTGGGTAGTGGCGCATGCTTGTAATTCCAGCTACTTGGGAGGCTGAGGCAGGAGAATCACTTGAACCTGGGAGGTGGAAATTGCAGTGAGCTGAGACTGTGCCATTGCACTCCAGCCCTGGGGAACAAGAGCAAAACTCCATCTCAAATAAATAAATAAATAAGAGAGGAAAGAAGTCTGCATTCCTTTGTTTTTAACTCTTTAGGAATATTTAGTAAAAATTCTTAGGACTTTGGGGATTTGACTGAAAAGCTGCATTTATTCACTTTTTAGTGACAAAAATCAGCCTGTGGCATTGTGAGAACACCACAAGGCATACCCAGTCACACTTCTTTTCATCTCAGCTGATGATTTCACTTTCTAATCCTATACTGTAAACAGTTAAGATCTAGTGTGCTGAGTTCTTCAGAGTGGGAAGTATAGGTTCCTTGTAAACAGAAGCAGGGTCTCTGATTTAGGATTGGTGGAGAGGGAAGACTGTAAGCCTTCCTGGAGGAAGTGAAAGAAGTCTAAGAGAATTTGGTTAGACTTCAATGACAGGTCAGGGCAAGGTTGAGGGAAGAGGCCCAGAACTGAAAAAATATGACAGATTTCAGCACTGGAAGTAAATGCAATTGGATTGGAGGGTGCAAGTCATTGTATTTTAATTTCATGTACAGCACTTGTCACTTTCCGATCATTTCTTGTTTACTGTCTGTTCTTCTACCCTCAGCCTCTCACACAGGGAGGCCTGGCCTGCTGATTGCTTAGTGACTGGCACAGATGTCTGTTAATCTTTCCTGAGGGCCCGCCTTGTGTCAGATCCTGTTCTAAGTGCTTCTCTCGCTCCCCAGCCCCGCCATTTAACAAAATTCTACCTCTTTAGAGCTGCCTCAAATGCTTTCTTCTCTATGAAACCTCCCCTGTCTTTTTTCCTCACTCCTGCTCTCAGAATTAGTTACTTCTTTCAGCGTTCCCTCAGCTGTTGATCCTTCCCTGCAGCATCAATTTAATTATGCATAGTGTTTGCGGTTTCCTTGTCTCCTCCATTCCTCATTAAGTTTTAAATCATGTGAAGACAGTGCATTTTTATGTGTCTCTGTAAGCCCTACAACACGTTGGACAGGCTTTTATACACAAAACAGGGCTTAAATATATTTTGAATAAATGAATTAGGGAGAGGTCCATGAACGCCCTCCACTCCCACCCTAATCCTCAGAGCAATACTTTAAAAATCTGACCATTTCAACCTTATTGAAGGCCGATCTTCATTCTGAGAATATAATTCTAACTCCTAAGCACGATGATGACCTCAGGGCGCTTTGCAACCACGTCCGTCCCTACACATCCTCTAAAAAAACTTCACTGCTTGTGGTGGCCTGCACGGCCTGCTGTACTGATTCATGCCACAAGGCTTTTGCGTCAGCTACTCTGTCTGGAATGTCCTTTCTATTTTCCCTTGCCTGGCCCGATTCAGGGCAAGCTTTCCTTCTTTGAATCCAGGCCCTGATTAAGAACTTTTAAAAAAGTACTAAATCCAGAAAAGTTTATATGGTGCTCTTCTATTTACGTGATGAAAAATGAAAACAACACTAAAGCGTAAAATGTAATTTTTAAAATGTCACACAACTTTACATGCATGCTACATTTAGAATAACATCTATATTTACAGCGTTCTCTGTCTCCACACGCCCCTAACTCTGGAGACGCCCTAAACAGTGTCTATCGGATCACCCTCGGGTTGGGTCAAACGCTCCTCTTCTCGGCTTTTCGGGCACAACTCTATCTCAACATTCACCATCTTAAGATGAGCAGACTGCAGATTTGCCTCTCCCACCAGGGTGGGAGCTGCCGAAGGGGCGAGAACAGCGTTTCCGTCGATCGAGCGCGAGACCACCAGTCAGCTCCAGGCCTATCTTGAATGGAAGTAAAACCTCCTCCCTAGACGGCCAGGGCAGTTCTTTAAAAAGCGGCTCCCTTCCCACACAGGAAATACGACTGGTTCACTTCTATCAAGGGTTGGCGCTGGGATAAGAGTGAAATATCAGCTGGCCCTGAACAAGGAGATTCTCTGAATTCCCGGATCCAATAACGTGACAAGCCCCGAGACTCCCAGGAAAACCAGCCGATTGAGCGCAGCTGAGGAGATTACTGACAGCGGAAGTCACGTGAGCGGCTTCCCCTGAACTCACTATATCGGCAGTCGACTATTCAGCCTTGCAGGCGTCTCTGGCGGGCTTCGCTGAGATCCGCTCTTTCGGTGCTCGACTCGCCCGTGCTGCTATCGCCGCCGAAGGAGGGGCAAAGCTCAAGATGGCGGACAAAACGCCAGGCGGCTCTCAGAAGGCCAGTTCAAAGGTAATTTCTGACAGGATTTCGTAAGTCAACGGATCTACCTCTGTCGTCTGGGGCCTACAGACGCTTCTGGTCTGCGAGAGGCGATTGGGATTGGGTTCTGTGTTCTGGTCGCGACGGTAGGCCCGGGCGCCGCCGCACTGTGGTGCGCAGGCTGAGAGGCCTGGTATCTCCCCTTAGTCCCAGCCTGGATTCAGCTCGAGACTGGCGTGCCCAGGCGGTGGTGGCGTGAGTACTTCGGCCCGCGCTTGGCATTGGAGCGAATTCAGATTGAGGTCCGAAGCCGTGAAAACGCTCCCCTGTATCTCAGCTTTCTGCGCTCCGAGGCCGCCAGACAGCGCCTGGGAGAGAGGCGGGAATCGATTCCCGGTGCCTAAGTGCTGCTTTTTTCTGGGTTTTGGATCTCAGTCACTTCCGGCCTCCCTCAGTTTCCCTTCAAGGAATAAATAACCTCTAGGGCAGAGACGCGGGGTGGGAAATGTAGAGGCGGGAGCACCTCTCCTTTGCAGGGCTGCATAGCCAAGGTTAATGTACGCTCTACACGTGGTCTTTACCTTAAGGGGAAGTAAAAAGCACTTGTTGGTAGAGGATTCGTGGACTCTTCATGTTGTGTTCCACTGAAGAGAGAAGCCCGGTAGACTTGTAAGCTACGTACCATTAGTAAATTGCATTTGTGTTTACAGGGAACCTTGTGTGCGTATTGTGAAACCAGTGAGCTGTGGTAGTTTAGCATTAGTAAGGTTGGGTTCTTAGTTGCCATGTTGGGCAGGACATTTAATCGTTTTTTGCTTTGGATTTCTCGTCTCGAACTTATTAAAAGTGGTGGGTACTGCCACGAGGTAGTTGAACTTCCCGATGCTGATGCAAGACGGTGTATAACACTTAAAGGTTCTAAGGACTGTTATATCTTAAAGAGTGTGTGTGATTATAAATCGGTTATTAGAAAGTTACGTTTACGGTAGGAGAGACCCTTGGGTTTACAGTTCTGAGAAACATGATAACTCGTTTTCTGTTTTCTACTTGCTTTCTCAGTTTCTAATAATCTGGCTGTTTATGCCAATTAGTGAATGATGTACACCAAAATAATTAGTTCATAATTAGTAATGGTCTTACTAGATATCCTTTAGTTAGATAAAAACTTGGTAAGGGGCCAGTTTTGGCTGCTTTACAAGGTACTGTTTACTCTGTCTGTTATTTCCCTCCCCACTACGTTTCCTCTTCTCCCTTTCTTTTGGGGAGAAGGGAATAGTGAGGTAACTCGCTCTACCAACTCTTCTTAATAGACTCATGACAAGAACAGATCCACTTACTGTTAGGGAGCTATTATTAAAGCCAGCTACATTCATAACAAGTCATGTATAAGCCTCACAATTTTTGTTTCTTCTCAAAGTAATGTTTTAAGTATCCCCTACTTGAGGTCTTGGATACATTGAAAACGTTTCAATGTCTGAAAACGTTTCAGGCTTCCTTCTAAAATAGTACTTCTCGTGGTTGTGAATGTATGGCTGTTCTCTATAAATAAATTCTTGGGTTATCTAGTAATCTTTTCTGTTTATACTGCCTTAGATTATAATTTGTTGATGCTATTAACAGATTTCTTACTGATGTCTGTAAAAGGAATTAGGATATCTTAACTAATAGGAGGCTGCATAATGTAGTGGGGAAGATCATGAATTTTGTTAACAAAAAAGATTTGGGTTCAAATCCTGACTTGGTAATTAATTATATTTGCGATAATATTAAGACAGATGCTTAAACTGTGGAGCCTCAATTTCCTCATTTTTAATATGGATATAATTTTTTTACAAGGTTGATATAAGGATTAAATGAACTAATGTCTATAAATAGATAATAGACCTTAGTTTCTTTCCCCTCTCCTTTTTTGTTCTTAGAAGAAATAAAAAGCTCTTTGCTTTCAAAATGTCAGGATAAATCTTAATCCTGTGATTTGGGATCTGTCATAATGACTGCTCAGATAGCTGCTTTTTACTTCTAATACAGAGTTTATTAGAGAAAGTGTAAGGACATTTTGGCTAATACTACAGTATTTGAAATTTCTAGGCTTTGATCTCTGGTTTGATTTCCCTTCCTCTGGAGAGAACAAATGAGTGGCTTGTATTTTACAGTACAGATGGAGTGAACAGTTACTTCTGTTTCATGATTCGTCGTTTTCTTTGGTAGTTAAATTACCATTAGTATGGATAGGGATGCTTATTTCTAGACATTGGGAAAATGTTAATTTTGAAATGTACAATATGGCAAAATTATTAACATTTCTTAATTATAAAAAGATTAAATTAGATAACGTCTACAACTCTCCTAGTTTTTGTTTTCTGTTGTTTGTTGTTTTTGTTTTTTGAAACGGAATCTTACCCTATTGCCCAGGCTGGAGTGCAGTGGCGCTGCAACCTCTGTCTCCTGGATTCAAGTGATTCTTCTGCCTCAGCCTCCCTAGTAGCTGGGACTACAGGTGCCTGGCTAATTTTTGTATTTTTAGAGAGACGGAGTTTCACAATGTTGGCCAGGCGGGTCTCGAACTCCTGACTCGTGATCCACCCGCCTTGGCCTCCCAAGTGCTGGGATTACAGGCTTAAGCCACTGCACCTGGCCTCTATTTTTAAAATGATATTTTATGTATGTATATTTGAATGACTGACTTCATTCATAATTTTCTGAAGAGACCCTTATGCCCTTTAATTTCCTGTGTAATTTTGCTGTACATTGCATTTTAGAGCCCGGCAGATGTAGACATTCAATAAATGTTTTAGAAATGAGCTAAAATTTTCCTATGCATTTGTTTATCACTAGTCTAAAATATTGCTTAGTTGGGGAGGAGTGTTGATGTTATGCTGTAGCTTTGATTTTGAGAGGAGAGAGAGTGAGCCTTTGTTTGCTTGTAAAATTGTTAAACATATTTCCTTAGAAATTAATTTATAAAAAATTATTTTTGACCGTAAGTTGTATGCTTGCTCAGCAAAATTAGGATATGAAGAAAATTTCATATTTTCTTATGCAATCTTCTGTGCTGGTAATACTTCTAATATAATGGAATTGTGTGCCCGACTGTTTGTCTCTGTGACTATGGCTTTTTTTTTTTTCTTTTTTGCCATATCGCCAAAAATTGAGTTAGAGAGGTGAATGGATAAAACAGAAAATACCACTGGCTTCCTCGGACAGCCAGTGCTAAATTGCTTTGGGAACTGTTTTGATTGACTGCCTTTGCTGATTAGCAAAAAGTATCAATTCTAAGAAATAAGTAAAATGAGGATCTATTCAAGGCTTGTGAACCTTAGGTATTTATTACTGCCAGTTTTCATCTTTTGTGGTACCTGAAAGTTTATGAAAAGGTCCACACAAAATAACAAACCTTGAAAATTAGGCTTTTCAGTATTTGCCAGTTTTAGTTTAAACCAAATCTTTACTATGGTATGGTTGTAACCTTATCTTAAAATGTAAGGTAGGTTTTTTTGGTAGAAGGTTTTGTTTTGGTCTGGAAGGTAGAACTGAACTGATCTTCCATTTTCTCGATTGATACTTTTTCGAAACTTGAGCCTGCAGTACTTATGCTGGAATATGCCTGTTGATATGGTTTTAAAAATAATTTATATTTTTCTGGGTTGAATTGATTGTTTTCTGAAAGTCTAGGTTTTGTTTTTTTTTTTTTTTTGAGATGATGTTTTCTGAAAGTCCAGTTTTTGTTTTTGAGATGGAGTCTCGCTCTGTCACCAGGCTGGAGTGCCCTGGTGCAATCTTAACTCACTGCAGTCTCCATCACCCAGGTTCAAGCTATTCTCCTGCCTCAGCCTCCTAAGTAGCTGGGACTACAGGTGTGTGCTGCCATGCCTGGCTAATTTTTTGTATTTGTAGTAGAGAAGGGGTTTCACCTTGTTAGCCAGAATGGTCTCGATCTCCTGACCTGGTGATCTGCCCACCTTGGCTTCCCAGAGTGCTGGGATTACAGGTGTGAGTCACCATGCCCAGCCCTGAAAGTCCAGTTTTTATTTTCACTTTTTGGTTTTTATTTCCGAAGCTTTGTTTTCCTTAGGAAGTAAACCTAAGAAAGATGCCCATTTGCCTTACTGGATATCATTGAAAGAAAAGCTCATTTAATATGCAAGTTGAAGACATCTAACCCTCTACCCCCCCACCATTTTTTTACAAGGAGCATCATTTTTGGAATAAAAAGAAAAACTTGCTACAAGATATTAAATCGAAAACAGTAATATTACAGTCTATTTGCCTCTTATTCTAGTATAGGTAGTTTTAACATTTTATTGTACATCTGCCGTGTGCTGGATATTTTATTGAAATAACATTTTTGAAAGCAAGATATGTTTGTCAGTAGCACTTGAGGCTAATCATAGTGTTAGACATCTATTCCCTGATTTTAAATTTTTTCACAAGGCCCTTTCTCAGTTTAGATAAACTATAGGTTGTTCAAAGTGTACTTAACTTTTCATGTAGTATTTGTAGTGTTTTGAATAATTTAAAAAATCATCTTAGGTTTGTTATTTAACTTTATTTACATAGTGCTTATATTAATGATTTTGTAAAGTTTTATTTATTTATTTATTTTTTGGAAGATGGATACCTTGATTTGACTTGGATAGTGGTATTAAGCTAGGTAGCTGTTGTTAATGGATAGTGTAGTATGTTGACAGTGTGGAGTGTAATTTTGTTTGGTGGTAGACACTTGTTCTGACAAGTCAAGTATATTGAGACTGTGTCACTTGCCAAATCGTTTTGCTTGATGTTGAATTAGAAAATGTTAAATCAGAATGTACTCATTTTTGAGGAGCATGCTGTCTAGTTCAGAGACAATACAGTATGCTTCCTGTGGGAGAGATTGTTAAACTTGTGGAGATGAAAGTTGCTGCTCTTAGACAGGGAGAGAAGAAACCTATGGGAGATTAGGAGACAGATACGGGAGTGGAGAGCTTACTATGTGGAAATGGTGGTGTTGGAGGAATGTTGCTGTGGATAGCTTGCTAATTTGGAAACTTAGATATGGGGCTTTCACTTGAAGTAAAGTTGGAGCAGCCAGAAGAAAATTAGTTTTGTTCTCAGCCAGCAAGCTATAGGGCCACAGGTAGTGTAGTTCTCTTCACTTGCATCCCCTTAGCAGCCATCACAATGATCTTTCTTCCTTTTGGATTTTCTTGCTGTCCTTCCCCACATTTGTACTGTCTGCTTTCTCTGCCCTAAAATAAATTTCTCTTGGGTATGCTACTTTATTGCTTCAAACTTCCCTTTGTCTGCCTTTTCATTTCTTGCTTTTGTGTCTTTTTTCTTTTCCTCCTTTGCTCTCCTCTCTTCTCCTTTTTCCTTTTTCCTTTCCTTTCTCCCTAGAGATAGGAGTTCTTGCTGTGTTGCCCAGGCTGGTCTTGAATTCCTGGCCTCAAGCAATCATCCCATCTCAGCCTCCCGAATAGCTGAGATTACAGATGTGAGCTACTACATCCAGCTGCTTTTGGGTCCTTTCATTTGGATAAGGAGTTGTGCCATAGACTTCAGGAGATCTTTAAGCATCGTTGGTTTGTGTTCTTCAGTTAAAAAGCCAAACTCAAGACAAATGTATAGTTCAGTTCCAGGTTAAGGAGAGGGAGAGGCTCAGCTTCTGAAATAGTGCGCTATTTACTGTTTACCTTGACTGTTAGCTTTAGAAAGTGATTATTCTTTTAAAAAGTGTGTTAACTACTGTTTGAACTGTTTTTAAGCCTTAAAATGTTCTGTGCTGAATGCTATGTAGCTATAGGTGTGTATCAGTGGAAAATGGTTTGCAGTAAACGTGGTTAGTGACATCTTAGGCTAATTGAAATCAGCTGGTGCATTGTCCTTCACCGTGCTGTTGTTACTCCATTTGCAAATTTATTAAATTGTGCTATTTTGAAAGCTGATGTATTTCCCTTTGGAATTTTGAGCTATTGAATGAAATTGTATTAAGTATGTGAAGAAATTTGAGTATCATTGACATTATCTTAACATTGAATTTTCCCACCCAGTAATAATGAGTCTTGAAAAGGTGACTTGAGTAGCTGAATTTTTCCTAAAGTTTTTGTTTTCTTCACAAGGGTTATGTACATTTCTTAAGTTGGTTTCTAGATGTTTTATATTTTTTGTTGCTTTTATGATTAGGATGTTTTTGTTACCTAGCAAGTTAATATTTGTATATTAGAAGGCAGTCGATTTTTTTTTCAGTCTGTCAACCTCTTGACTGAACTTGTTTTTCTTTTGTAACAGTATTTATTCTTTTGGATTTTTAAATTTCTAGACCTTTGTAAATTGATGTATTTCAAGGTATGTTTCAGTGTGTTTCATAGTTAATAAATACTAAACATTTTCTTCTTTCATACCATCTTGACTTTTAAGAAAGATTAGCTGCAAGAAGAAAATGAGAGTGGATGAAAAAGGTGGGGACAGGAAAACCATGGACAGGAAGAATGAGTTAGGGCTGGGTGTGGTGACTCATACCTGTAATCCTAGCACTTTCAGAGGTTGAGGTGGGCAGATCAACCTGAGGTCAGGAGTTCGAGACCAGCCTGGCCATCTTGATGAAACCCTGTCTCTACTAAAAAGACAAAAATTATCCTGGTGTGGTGGCACTTTCCTGTAATCCCAGCTACCCAGGAGGCTGAGGAAGGAGAATCATGGAACCAGGGAGGCGGAGGCTGCAGTGAGCTGAGATCTCGCCACGGTGACAGAGTGAGACTCTGTCTCAAAACAAAAAAAAAAAAAAGTAAGAATGTGATGGGAGGTGTCCCAGTGCGTGGTTGTCCTGGGCTGATTTTTGCCTATGCTGTTGCTCAATACAGTGGAGTTCAGGGGAGTAAATTGATTCAGTGTAAAAATCTTACCAGCTGTTCTTAGCCTTTTGTTTGGACAGTGTAAATAAAACAATACTGTATGGATCTATATTAATCTTCCTGATTTGCTGTTTTAAGTAACATATGAATCTTCAATTTTCTATTAAATTAATATTTTTTCTAATACTTTATATGATATCTGGAACTGGGAGTTGGGGTCAAGTGAGATATTTGTGATCTCAAAATTCTTGATTTCATTTGAACACTTAACACTTAAATATATAAATAAAAACAAGTAAAATCTCACTACCCTATACCCTCAAAAGTAAAGCTCAGTGGCAGTTATATTTTGGCTTTCCAAGTAAAAATTACAGAAAGATAGCATATATTATTTAATTAATAGCCTTGTAGCTTGTTGTCTTTGTCTTTACATGCATAGTGAAAACAAATTATTGCATACCATGTGTAATCTGATATGTAGATCAATTAATAAAAGTTGAAATTTTAACAGTTGACATTGCTGAAACATATAATATGAACTCTTTCTCATGCCACCAGGCAGCCTGTGACATGCTGTAGAATCATCCCACTTAAAACAAGTTGTAAATCGTGCCTTATTGGTGATTCAATAATGTTTTCTTGAACTTTCTGCAAAATTTGTACCCTTTAATAGCAAAGATTTTTATGTGGATTTCTTCATGTGGCTTTGGGGGGCTAGAGAAAGGAAGATAGTTCTTATGCTATGGATCAAGAAGTTGCTGGTAGTGCTGTGGCAGTAAACAGTGCATCTATGATTAGGAAGAGCTTTTGCATAAAACTTGTGTCGTAAAAATGGTGGTTAGATTTCCAGTGTATACTATGAAGAGGTAGTTGTGCCTCATATATATCCCACTGGCGTTTATATCATATTTTTGGAAATATGAAGGCCGAATTTTAAAGAAATTACTTACACATTTACTTTGTATCACAATCTTTTCGTAAGTCAGAGACTGCCTTTGCTCAGTTTTATTAGCTGAGGAGAAATTGCTGGAAGTTAGGAGAGATTAAGTTTGTAAAACATGAGAGACATAGTTTCTTAGTATAAGATATTTTGAAAATACTGACTTTTGTTTTTAATGCTTGTAGACGAGATCATCAGATGTTCATTCATCTGGATCTTCAGATGCACATGTGAGTATAAAAGGCAATCTTTCTCTTTTTTCCTTAAAATTTAATTTATCCTCATATGTAACCCCACATCAATGATTTTACTTGACAATAAGTACAATTGTATTGTATGTGCTTTTTTTCTTTTACTGTTTTTTCTAGGCACCTTCCTTTTTTGTGTGTTCTACTTGTGTAAGTTAGCCCTCTCAAGCCATGTTAGAAAGCTAGTATGTGTATTTTCTTATTTTTATTGTGTAAAAATCTGTACACATGTAAGTATGTGTACTTATATATTGACTATGGGGTTGCATTATACACACGGTTTTCTCACTGCATAGAACGTGGTGGAAATCCCTGTAGGTAAACTGTTAAAACTCTAAGCTATTCTTTTTTAAGGCATCATAATGTTCTGTGGTGGGGAGGTGCAGTTGTTAAGAAATAACAAATAGGCATATATTTTTTGTTCAAAGCTTTTGGATAACATTTTGGATAGATAATACTGCAAAAGTATTTCTTTATATATGATATTACAGCATTGTTCAAAGTATAGTCCGAAGACCCCGGGAGTCACTGAGAATCTTATGAGAAGGGTCTGTGAATTAAAAACTAATTTTTGTAATAATACTAAGGCATTATTTATGCCTTTTTCACTGTTTTGGTGTTTGCAGGAATGCAAATGTAGCTGGAGGTGCAAAAGCATTTGGTGGGTAAACTTTTGGCACTTGAGCACAAATCAACGCAGTGACACCAGAATATACTTGTCATTATATTCTTCCCCACCAGGCAGAGTAATTTCACTTAAGAGGCTAGCATAATTAGAAATAATTTTTACTGCTTGAAGCTATAAAAATTACTATTGTTTTACTACATCAAGCAGTAAAAATTATTACTATTGTCTTGATCTTTTGTATAGTTTGTCTTAATATTCTATGTGATAAAATAAGAAGTATGTATAACACTTAGCTTACCAAAATGTGATGTTTGAGTTGAGAAATGAAACTACCTGCCTTTTTCATGAAACACCATTTTTACTTGGGAATGACTGACAGGCAAACTATGGTTAATCAGACTTGGGTATTTTGGCAGACATTTTCTTGAAAATGAAGGTAATGAACCTGTTACTTCAAGGAAAACAACTATTACCAACATAAAATTCAAGCTTGTGAGTTAGAGTTACTGAAAACTTCCCCTGTTCTTAGGAATTTTTCTGATGAAATCAATGGTGATATTAAGGGATGTGATATTTTGATAATGTACAATGAAATTTGTCAATATCTGACATGGCTTATTTCTGGTTTTCAGTGCTATATATGTATGTATGTGTGGTTTGTTTTTTCTCTTATTTTACTTTTCCTGAAGATGGATGCATCTGGACCCTCAGATAGTGATATGCCAAGTCGGACACGACCTAAGAGCCCAAGAAAACATAATTATAGGAATGAAAGTGCCCGTGAAAGCCTTTGTGATTCTCCTCACCAGAATCTCTCAAGAGTGAGTATAGATAAGATAAGGTAAAGATAAGAAAGGATAGTTAATGATTTAATTTGTCCTTGATTTAATTTAGTACTTGAATATCTTGGTTTTGTATGTGTTTCATTTTATTCTATTTGAAAATAGCATTTTTTTTTTTTTTTTTTGGTATTTGAAATTACAGTAAACTCAAGTTTATTTAGGGAAATCGTTTTAGTTCAAATGTGAGATGTATTTCATTTTAAAGTTTTAGATTTTATTCAAAAAACAAAGTGGTGTTTGGATTTAAAATGGTTAATTGTCAAATTTATCTTTCCCCCCTTAAACATTTACTGAACCAAGTGCCAGATACCAGTTACTGGAAATGCACAGGTCACTGAAACTATTCTTGTTCCCAGAAGGCTTATAGTCTCAGTTTGGGAAGCAAACAGGAGCAGGTGCTATTCACTCTGATAAGTGCAGTTCCCAGGGCAATACAGGAACACAGAGAAGGAGCTTCTTTACTTGTAGATCTGCAAAGTGCTCTCAGACTCTTAGACTTTTATTCTATGTCAAGTAATTTTTTCTTGTGGTTAAATTTGTGACATATGATAACACAGTCATCACCAGCCAGTGTTAACCACTGGTAAATTATTTTTCTTGTTTAGTATTTTTAGGCATAAATATATTTTTACTTGGCCTAGATTTATTTTACAAGAACCCGTTTTAAAATATCCTGTTTTTAGTTATAATATTTTTCATTTCTGCAAAAATTCTGTAAAATTTATAATGATTGCTTATATTGTTTATTTGAATAAATACTCCATAGTTTACTTAGCCACTTCTCTCGGGTATCTGAATTTAGTTCTTAGGGTATAAATGAAATTTGAGCATGGTTAAGTTTTCCTTGTATTTCATTTAATTCATATATAATTTTGCACCTTGTTTAAACTTTTGAAGTTGAAACCAAAGACACTGAATGATGGCAAAACGATTTTCTGTTTTGAGAAAATTTATTTTGAATCCACTCGTGAAACTCAGTATTGACCTTTGGGTTATCAACTGCTTTATTTTTCTCAAAAGGATTTTAATATAACTTAAAAATAATAACAGTGTTACTCTTCCATTCTGCATCTCCCAAGGGCAAGCCTATTTAATGACCAGGGAATTAATAAAGTCTTAATTTTGTAATCGGTTAACTTCTCATTTTGGTAGGAGAGAGAGAAACCTTCAGATTTCAGTATTTTAGGTTTTATTTAATAAACATTTCCTACCTTTTAAGTTTATAAATCAAATGAGTAACTGATTGAACGAAAAGGTCTACAGACAATGTATTCAGGCTGTATTTCAGAAGAAAGTTGCTTCTAAGTTACATGAATGAAGAGTTCACTAAAATGTTGTTTTATATTTAAAATTAGTTAATATAGTTTTACTTGAGCTGAAACTTAAAATATTGTAGGTGACACTTTAATCCCAGCAAAGAATGAAATTATGTTCATAAATGTCAGTATTATTGATGAAGAATGAGGTAATTTACCAAATTATAAAGAAGAAGTGATTTACAGTATGTGAAATGAGAGTTATAGATGGTAAATTCCTGCCACTGGACCATGGAAATGTATGCCTCCCTTTGCCTACTTGAGGATCTGTATTCTATCATTGCAACTTTTCCCCGGAAACATCTGTGCTTTCCCTCCTCAAATGCCTTTATTCTTGTCCTAAGCATTAGTGTCTGTCTCTTCTATTTTTACCTTTTTATAAACATGACTTTTGCCTGTTTTTGACCTTGAGCTATCGAATGAAGACATTTCTTTGATGACTACTTAACATCAGAGTCAAGCAAGATAGGCACCTGATGTGTAGAGTATCCCCAGCTTTTCTTCACAATGAAATTTTTAAAAAATGCAGTCTATTCTGAAGACTGAGTTATCAGGTGATATGTATTAAAGTTTTAGATAGCATTAAGAATGTATATGTAAAGGTATGCTTTTTATTTCTTAGCCTCTTCTGGAAAACAAACTTAAAGCATTCAGTATTGGAAAAATGAGTACAGCTAAGCGAACTTTAAGTAAAAAGGAACAGGAAGAATTAAAGAAAAAGGTAATGTTGAAAATGTATTTTGAATTATCCTTGGAAATGAATGTGTCTAAGGGGTTAGTAAGTGTGTTAGAGGAATGGTTCCCAAAGATTCTTAACCTCTAGGATAGTCTCAGCTCCACCTCTGAGTCAAATCTGTAACACAAGGTATATTCCTAGGAATCCAGCTTCTTGTTCCCTCACCTGGTTTCTTTTTTCTTTGTTATAGTTTTGGCTATTTTCTAATCTATTCTTTTTGTATAAGTAAAGGGTGTGTGTGTGTCTGTGTGTGTGTGTGTGTGTGTGTGTGTACATACACATTGTATCCATTCCCCTTAGTTTAATGATTGCATGCTTTATACAATATACTTTTTTTCCAACTTGCTTTTTTAACTTAACATATCTCAGAAATAAGTATATTTCACAAGTATATAGAAATACTCCTTATTCTTCTGTGGCTGTGTAGATATGTAGTCATTTATTCAACTAAAATTCTATTGAGGGCATTTATGTTTTGTTCTTTTGTCATTACAAATAATGCTGTTATGGATAATGTTATGCGTATGTTTGTTTTTTTTTGCTAGTGTTATCTTTGGAATATATTCTTATAGGTGAGATTTGGGGATATATACTTATAAATGAGATTACTGGGTTGAATGGTAAATGCATAAATGTAGTTTTTCTATATTTGTCATTGTCAAAATGTTCTCTGTAGGGGCAGGAATATTTTGCATCCCTGTCAGTAATGTATGAATGAATATTTCCCCATAGCACTGCCAACAGTGGAGTTTCACCAATCTCTTACATGAAAAATGGTATCTTAGTGTAGTTTTAAATTTGCATTTCTCTCATTATGAGTAAAGTTTAACAGTCTTTCTTGTGTTTGTTTCTGTGAACTGTCTGCTTGCATCTAAACCATTTTTTTTCTGTAAGTTATATTAACAGTTTGTTATACATGGTACAATTTTTTTTCTCACTTTGTTGTTTTTTATTTTGCTGCTGGTGTTCTTCTTCATGCAAAAACTATTGTAGTACAATCAGATTTATCAGTCTTTCCCTATGATTTCTGGTTTTTCAGTTAAGTTTTTTCCACTATAAGCTTATAAAAGAATTTCCTCATGTTTTCCTCTAGTACTGTATGGTTTCGTTTTTTAAGAATATTAAATTATTTTGTAGTTTATTCTGGTATGTGGTGTGAAGAATAGATTCATTTTTGTCTTTTTTCAGATAATTATTCAGTTATCCCATTATCATTTATTGAAAAGTTTATTTCCCGTTCATTTGAGATGCTTCTTTTATTGAACACTAAATTTCCACATGCTATTCGATTTTATTCTGTATTTTCTGTTAATGTTCCATTGGTCCTTCTTCTGTTCATATATGTTTTGGGGACATTTAGAATAATTGAAAATATCAAGATTCTTCTGAGCTTTCTTTTCTTTAATGCCACTTGTCAGTAGATATTGCTGCTTCAGCTTCTAATACTCATGTTTTTGGTGATTTGAAAAATATTTATATTCACTGAATTAAATCATCATGCCTTGGAAACTTGGTCAACATTACTAGCATAATATGTTCTCATATAGTCAGTTGTCATACAATTTGATGCTTGAGTTGTCTCTAGACACATTTACTAATTAGTCTATACTTACGGGTTCTTTTCTGGTTCTACAAATTGCCAGTAGATCATACAAAGGCTGCGCAGTGGGTCCTTTAAAAAAAACAAAAACAAAAGCAAAAACAAACAAACAAATTGGCAGTAGAGGAGCAAAGCCTCTCTTAATTTCATTAATATTTAGTATCTGTTAAAGATTAGATGTTATTACATGTTAGGACTGCTTGACCTGGGAAGGGAGGGTTTTCATTCATATTATTCCTTGATGAATTTAACCCTGTGTACATTAACGATTTTTGTATTGTGATATTAATATTTTCATGTGTATGTAGGAGGATGAAAAGGCAGCTGCTGAGATTTATGAGGAATTTCTTGCTGCTTTTGAAGGAAGCGATGGTAATAAGGTGAAAACATTTGTGCGAGGGGGTGTCGTTAATGCAGCTAAAGGTAAGTTTATAAAATATAACTGCTAATAAAGTATAACTGTTACAGTTTTTGCAAACCCCATTGAATAACTGCAGGTAGATAATTGTGCAAAGAAATATGGTTACTTTTGAATTTTACATTTTCTATCAGCACCCTCTAGTGGTTATATTAATTAGCAAGATAAATGGCCAAGTGTCAGCTAATGAGATATTGAAGCCAGATAGCTTATAAACATGTTTAGTCTCTTTCAAGCTTTAAGACAGCAGAGCACTAGTCAGAAGTTGTAATATGTGTCATCGTTATGTAACAAAATGATTAAATTAGTAGTATTGAGGTGATAATATTTGAATTTAATTTCATGTTTGTCAATAGTGATACCTCTTAATCCTAAAAGCATTTTACTAATTTTTACTTGTTTTCAAATAAAAAAGTGAAAAATGATGCAAAATTAATTTTGAGACTTAGTATTTTAAATTTCAGAAGAACATGAAACAGATGAAAAAAGAGGTAAAATCTATAAGCCGTCTTCAAGATTTGCAGATCAAAAAAATCCTCCAAATCAGTCTTCCAATGAAAGACCACCATCTCTTCTTGTGATAGAAACCAAAAAACCTGTAAGTCATACTCAAGTAATTGACCATTTATGTTCAGAGATGACACTGCCAATGATACTTCCACTATAAGCAAGACTTTGGCTTTTTGTTTTTCATTTTTTGTTGGGTTGGGGGTAAAATGTTAGGTTTTGGTGCTTTCTAACCCAGTAATTTACTTAGGTGAGACATAATGAATTAGGATACATAGATGATATTCTTTATGTTCTTTGAGCAGGGAACATTTGCTATTTATGCTCATAATATATTGCAAGTCAAAACTTGACTGTATTTTGGGTATAAATTTAAAGCTATGGGGTTGTCTTAAGCAATTCTGAACTGAGGTATTTAAATTATTAGTATTGTAGTGTATGTTTCCCAGAACATTTTTGGAACCTTCTGGGAATTACTGTCAGAATTAGTGACACTTAAAATATTTTCAGTGTTAGAAAAATATTTTTTCTTTGAGGGGTTAGTTTTTATGGGAGATGGTAGATAGATGTGGGTCTGTCATTTGGAGCCAAACGTGCTGAATAAATAGTGCATTGAATAGTAAGACTGGTTTTTCTTGTGTGGCTTAAAAAATAGCTCTAAAAGCAATGAAAAAACCAGCTTTATTGAGATATAATTCATATACACTACAATTCACCTTTTTTTTTTTTTTTTTTTTTTTTTTTTTTTTTTTTTTTTTTTTTTTTTTTTTTTTTTTTTTTTTTTTTTTTTTTTTTTTTTGGAGACAGTCTCACTCTGTCACTCAGGCTGGAGTGCAGTGGTGTGATTATGACTCCTGTAGCCTCAACCTCCTAGGCTCAGATGGTCCTCTCACCTCAGCCTCCTGAGGACCTGGGACTACAGGTGATGTAGTCCCATGCCCAGCTAAGTTTTTGGTATTTTTTGTGGAGATGGGGTTTCACCATTTTGCCCAGGCTGGTCTTGAACTCCTGGGTTCAAGCAATCTGCCCACCTTTGCCTCCCAAAGTGCTGGGATTACAAGTGCCTGGCCAAAATTTACCCTTTTAAAGTATACAATTGACTAGGTGCAGTGACTCACGCATGTAATCCTAGCACTTTGGGAAGCTGAGAGTGGAGGATGGCTTGAACACAGGAATTTGAGACCAGCCTGGGAAACATAGCAAGACTCCATCTTTACAAAAAGTAAAAAGAAAAAATTATTTAAATAAATAACGTGCACTATTAAGTGGTTTTTAAGTATATTCAAAATTGTGCAACTATCAACACTCTAATTTCAGAAAATTTTTAGCACCCCAAAAAGAAATCCCTACCTATTATCAGTCATTCCCATTTTTTTTTTCTATTGACTTCAGTCCCTGACAACCTACTAATCTACTTTCTGTCTCGATTTGCCTATTCTGGACATTTTGTATGGATGGCATCACACAACATGTGGTCTTTTGTATCTGACTTCATTACTTAGCATAATGTTTCATGGTTCATCTTTGTTGTGGCGTGTGTCGGTACTTCATTCCTTTTTGTGGTGGAATAGTATTCCATTTTATGGACATACCATATATTGTTTATCCATTCATTACTTAATAGATGGATATTTGGATTGTTTCCATCCTTTTTTCTGCTATTAGAACTAATGCTGCTGTAAACATTCATGTATGGGCTTTTTTTTGTGTGAACTTATGTTTTCAGTTCTCTTGGATATATATACACACACACACACATAAACTGAGAAGTGGAATTGCTGGGTCACATGGTAACTGTGTTTAACCTTTTGAGAAACTGCTAGTTTTCCAAAGTGGTTGTACCACTTTACGGTCCCACCAGTAATGTATGAGGGTTCCAGTTTTCTCATGTTGTACTCTTAACACTTTGAGACCATGACCAACAAGGTGAAACCCTGTCTCTACTAAAAATACAAAATTAGCCGGGTGTGGTGGTGCATGCCTGTAATCCCAGCTACTCCGGAGGCTGAGGCACGAGAATTGCTTG